AATATTGGTCCACTGGAAAAAAGGGGAACACAGACTGTAAAAATCCTTGGTCTTCTTCCCACAGCCCTCCAGCCCAATCTATGTGCTTCTGTGGGAATCACTCCAGCAGGCAGAGAGACCCAGGGTGATTGCCTATGCAGACCATTTCCTCATCCAGATCAGAGGGGAAAGTAACTGCCAGTCACTCTGCTGCGGCTTATCTTGAAAAGAACTCAGACCTGAAAGCAGGAAGCTTATCAAGTGCTGGTAACTGTCATTAGTTTTCAGATAGGATTCTCAGAAATCAGCAAGTTGTTTAATTTGTATGCCAGGAAGGAGACCTCTGTCACCTGGCTTAGCAGTGGGGTGTGAAGAACATTTCCTTCTACATTTATCCAAACTAGTATGCTTTAAAAAAAAAAAGAAAGAAAGCAACATTTTAAATAGTATTCTTGCAGTGCATCTCTTGTATAGCGGCCGGGTGGGCGTGGGTTGTATACCCTGGAACCCCTAGTCCTCGCGCAGTCCTTGGAAGTGCTCTGCAATGGGGTTGGGGGAGGGGTGCAAAACAGACTCAGCTGCACAGAAATATGGTGATTCTTGGTTCAGCTCTTCTTTTTCGCAAATATCACTCACAGTAAAAACTCAGTAAACAATGCGTGTTTGAGGAAAGAGATTAGCTGATTTATCTTTCTTCGATTACACAGTCTTTCTCAAATATTTCCTAATGGCCATGGAGGGCTTTCCAAGTGGTCTAAGTTGTACTTCTTGTCCTCTAAGACCTTAAGACTATAAGTCCTTTTTTTTTTAATGTAAAGACCCCTATGACTATCAAAAAAAGTTGATAACCCCCTAAACCTTCCTCCCTGAAAGTATTTGACCTTTCAGAGTCCATTATTTTTAAAAAAGTAAATCAAAACAAAGTTTTTATAAATTTGATAACTTTTTTTAAATGGACTTGTGATTTATCAATTTCAAGAATTCCTACAGAAATGGAAAACCATGTATATGTGAGACTCATTTCTACTCTGTCTACGTGGGAATTTGTAGACTAGTTGCAACACTTGATCTACCAACCGACTTATTGAAACAGCTTGATATTTGACAATCAAAACCATAAGACAAGCTCCAAGTAAGTGGTATGGAGATAAGAATTGTCTAGGTTTAAAGGAAAGAGAGACTGCTATGGTCTGTGGTGGACAGATGGTCCCTTAAGAGTTGTAACCCTTAAACCTGGCAATGAAAGTTTAAGAGAATTGTCACTGTGGAAAACTTGCAAAGACATGAAAAAGGCCCAGAGGGCTTGCTCTGTGGACAGACAGCATTAAATGCTTACATCAAGCAAAGAACAGTGCACACTTTAGAACCAGACAAACCTGGATGTTCATTAGCTGTGTGACCTTGGGTAAATTACTCACTATAATCAGTGCTTAGTTTTCTCTCCAATAACGTGGGGATAACCTGTCCTGAACATGTCACAGAAGAGTTGGGAAGATCAAATAAGATCAAGTATATAAGGAGAAGTATTTTATGAACTGTAATTTTACCAGATTAATAAACACCATTATATTTTTAAGGGCCCAGATATGCCCATGCAACTGAGGAGGCCATGTGTTGATTAGGATTCTTTTTTTGCAAGCAAAAGAAATGATCTAACGCAAGCAAAACAAAATTATTAGAAAAATGTGGTGGGAGGTGGGGCGGAAGGGAAGACGCACACAATATGGCTCACGAAATCAAAGGAAATTTGAAGACGGACTCAGAAAGAAGAACCAGGAAATGATGCAGTGGGAGAAATTGGGAGCAGTGATTACTTAATGGCCTCATTTGTTTTTTTCTTTCTTGAGTCATTCCGCTCAAGTCAAAGTCCCACAGTGGGAGAATCTGGTGGGCAGGGCATCTAGATTTACATTCCCATCAAGATTACAAACCAAGGAAGAGAGTTTCCCAAAAGGAAGTTAAAGGATTGTTAATGAAAGGAAAGTAGAATGTGTTCATATGTTCGTGAATTTATGTAGTCATGTGTACAGACCAACCTGAAATCAGTTGTGAAGAACAGAGGAAATTAAGCCTAGGAAAATAAAAGTTGAGGCTAGTAAAATAGAAATGGCCTATTCCAGTTACTGGAACATATTTCAGCCTGTTTGCTTCACCTTGGCCTTCCCAGTGATTCTGGGAGGATGAAGCTCACTGCATCTGGGCCATAGGTCAGTGAGGAGTACCTTATCCTGAAGAGTCATTACACACTAACACTTGGCTGACTTTCCTTTGCTGTCATAGATACCACCATTGATAAACTGGGAACTTTGAGTTGTTTTATGGCTGCAATAATTGATGTGTGTCAATATTCTCTTCCTTCTCTCTGATGCTCTCTCACTCCTTCTGTGGTTCATACGTCATGGATATTCAGTAAATGCTTGAATGTATAAACAGATGAATGGGAGACTAGTCAGGCCCTTGTTGGAGAATTAAAGGAAATGGCACGTATAAAATACTTAGTTGGTTCTTGGCATATAACAAGCACTGAAATAAGTGTTTGCTACAGCAATAATAATTACAATAAGAGGAGGAAGAGGAATAAGTATGATGGTAACAATGATGATGACATTGATGATTATCCCAATTGGCTTGGGATGCCAATAATAGGAACTGTAATCCTGGCTCTGTTACTTACAGCCATGATACAAGTTGCTTTCTTGTGAGATCGTAATGACAGGTGTCTGGCACATATCAGTGCTCAAGGTGAGTGGGTCTGGCCTGAAGAAAACAGAGACACACACTCTCCTCTCTGGAAGGGGTTTATCTTTTCCTGGACCCTGATGGTTCCCAGGCCATTTTGTTGTTTGTGAGACTTCCATCGAGGACAGTGCCTAAGAAAAAAGGCTGGGTAGAAAGGAAAGTTGATTGGGTGGGCTTCGTCCACAAGCTAAGGAAAGCTGTGGGGTAGTGAATCTGAAGGGAATCAAAAACTCCAGATTAAAATAAGGACATGTCAGATTTAGAATGTGTGGCAATTCTCTCCTGTCCTTGGGTTCTGCTAGCATCCCTTGGAGTTGGCTACAACAAACCCTTCAAAGCAAGAACTTGATGGGCTATCTTTAGAGATAGCAGAGCCCATGTGCCCCTCTCCACAGCCCATCCTGGGGAAGGAGGATGCCCAGGGAACAGGTAGCTAGAAAAGGTGAGGTCACCTCTCCATGAGGAGAGGCAGACAGAGAAAGGACCCAAGGCCAATGCCCAGAAGAAAAGCAAAATAAGGGACATTTCAGGAGGAAGGTCACTGGAGAGCCCCAATGAGGGACAACAGAGGCAAACTTGGTCATTGCCGGGATCTACCAGGCCCAATTAAACAGATGACAGGGACTCACTGCAGCAGGATCATTAGCTCTCAGAGCCCGCTGTCACTCCTATCTGAAATGAGTTTGGATTGAGAAAGCCAGCAATGAGCCGAGTGGTATGGATCAGGAGAGAAGCACATGGCTTAATCAGGGGCATGAAAGCAGCTGACAAATTACAGCCTGATTTGTCAGCATCTCAGAGCTCGGCAAGTGTTTGTCCCTGAAAGAATCGATACCTGGAGGGAAAAGGGACATATTTTTAGGAACTTCTGGATGGGTAATTTATTTCAAGTGACTGGAGAGTTTATTTATGTCGGTGCCCCCGCAGATACAATGGACAGTATATTTACACGAAGCCAGAAAATGCTGTCATTTCTTCTAATCAATTTGCTCCTTTGAACAGCTGTACCTTGAAGCTTTCAGCCATAAATTCACTCCCCGTGCTGAAAGCTCTACACAGGAAACCATTTCTCTAGCATGCCTTCCTTCTGTGTGCATAGCATGTTACACCTTTCATGACTTTCCCGCATGGATTCTATCTTTGGGGGCACTGATGAAATCACAGCACAGGGAAGGAGATGTTAGTCTCATTCTACAGACAAGGAAACTGAGGCTCAGGAGATGAACACAGCAGTCGTCAATGTGGGGTAGAATTAGAAAGCGGGATTTCCCACCCCCAGCTGTGTCTTCCCCCCATTGGACCGTAAGAGATTATACAACTAAAATACCTAATATAAGAGAAAATGTGGAGAGCCAAGGATGTGTTCAAAGTATTTTGCTACTCTGTACAATAATTGTAGGCTTGAAAATAAACACTGTGGGTAAAGCTTTCATCACAGCATCTGACAGAAATGAGAGTACAGTAAATGCTATTTATTTGTTTTGCGAGCAACTGTTTTCACAGCATTTTTACAATCACAAAACGAATCGAAACAACATAAATGTTTAATAGTGAAATGACAAAATATGGTGGCATTCATACAATAGTTTTCTATGCAAATGTTAATAAAGATGTAGGAAATTTTAATAACATGTGAAATGTTCAAGGTAAACATCATCTCAATTTTGAAATGCATAACTGTATTTCAAAATGTATATCGGTCCACACAGAAATGTGTGAGTATATACATCTATATTTTTTTAACCCCCGAGTATTATATACACAAGGATATTACTTGGCTATCTCTAGGTGCCGTGTTATATAATCTCTTCTTTTTGATCATCTATTTCTGTGCTGCCCAGTGCAGTAGCCACTAGCTATATATAGCTATTTAACTTTAAATTAATTAAAATTAAATAAAATTTCAAAATCGATTTTTTTGTCATCCTATCACATTTCAGTAGCCACATGCAACTAGTGGCCTCCACATTGGACATCGCAGACTTAGAACATTTCCTTCATTGCAGGAAGTTCTAGTGGACAGTGCTGGTCTAGGGACTTGACCCCAGGCCTGACAAAGAAGTGCGGTCTCCCACCTTTTCTCTGCCGTGCATCCCAACTTCATTCGCATCTACTTTCTCCTTAATGAACCTTTTACTTTTTCTCCTCACACGTTACAACCATCACAGCGTGACAAAGCAGAGATTACCTTATTTGCAATGGTTCTAACAATGATTAGCTCCCAGTGATCCTATTAAAACTAGATCCCTCTTAATAACTTCGTGACATCCTCTCTCCCACAGGAGGTGCAGTTCGAACCGGAACATTTCCACAACACCATCGTGTGTGAGAAACCCAACAACCACCTCAACAGATTTAAGGGTTATATGTAAGTATCCAAAGCCCGCATGCTGCTAGTAAATATCTCCTCTGCAGCTAGAAAGCTTTTTTTTTTTTTTTTTGGTCGAAATGGCCAAACATATATGCATCCAGGTCCTGAGGAAGTTTATTTCTTTTTATCATAAAGAAAAGCTAGACAAACCTAAGTTGTGAAACTTTCCCTATTTTCTTTTCCTTTTTTTTTTTTTTATTTTATTTTGCTGGAGTGACAGTTAATTACCTCGCAGGGTTAAATTTGCTAATTTTGTTTTTAGAACTCTGGTGAAATAGCATCAAAATCAAGACCACACTCTGATTCGAGGGAGGCGATTTTATTTAATTAAGATTGGTTTTCTGAAAGAGCCTGTATTGCATTGTAGGTAAGAACAAGGACACTGGAGTTTGATAGACCAAGGTTTGAAGCCAGCTGCTGTCACTGACAAGCTGTGTGACCTTGGGCAAATTAATTAACCTCTTTGGGCTTGGTTTCCACATCTGTAAAGATTATAATATCTACATCATAGGATTTTTCTTTTCTGAGAATTGAGTTGTTTATCATATGCGAAGCCCTTAACACAGCGACTGACAGAGTAAATATTCTGTTAATGGCAGCTGCTACTGCTACAATTATTGTTATTAGTATTCTTCATCTTTCTTTTGGCCTGAGAATTTTACTATATTTCTGCTCCCACATCAGACTACTGGTCTTACTGCAAAAACCAGCAGTGGTAACAGATACAAATAATTGCCCTTACATAGTGCTTTAACAGTTTTTAGAATTGTTTCACAGAGTATATCATCTCATTTAATCTGTCCAACAAGCCAGGTAAAAATGATCCTCATTAATCAGACAGGGAATCTGATGCTCTAAGACTTATCAAGATTCACCCTGAGGCACCCAGCAGGTATAAGACAAAGCCAGGACTTGAGTGCAGGTCCTGTCACGCCGACCCCAGTGCTTCCCATGGTCGTGCCGTACAGAGCTCAGGCCTGTTACTGCAACTTCCACAAGTCTTGGAGTGATGTCTATGCTTTCCCTCCACCCACGTTTTTTCTCAGGCCACAGGGGATGTCATGAGGAGCAATATGAGAGGGGAAAGGGTAAGAACAATACAAGAGAAATAGCAGCCATTAAACACAAATGAATTTTCTGAAGCACAGAGAGAGCAGATGGAGACAGAGAAGGGGATGAACTCCTGGGAGAGAGGAGGATTCGCCACAGGCATCTGGCAGGGTGGAGCTTCCACCTGCCCCATCAAGGGGTCCACCCCTCGTGCCTGAGGTCTGTGGACTGAGTTCACCCCAAGTCACTGGTGCCTGGAGTCATTTTTCTATAGCCTCATTGCTGGGTTTCGATTTGTTATCTTTCTGCCCCCAAACAGCTTGTGCCAGCAGCCTTGGCCTCATTGGTGAGCACTAGAAGTCCAGTCGGTCAGCCCAGAAGCCAACCATGGTACGGTGGAGAATTCTCCACTGTGGTCCTGCATCCCTTTAACTCTCTGAGTGAAGATTAGGGGTGTCAGATAGGAAAATGCAAGTTTTAAACAAAAAAAAACCTCTATAGTGCTTGGTTCTCAATCAGGGGTGATTCCTCCACTTCCCCTACCCCCCAAGGGGGTCTTTACAATGTCTAGAGACATGTTTGATTGTCACAATTAGGGAGAGGTGCCGCTGGCATATAGTGAGCAGAGAGGCCAGAGAAGCTGCCAAACATCCTACAAAGCACAAGCCAGACCCCACAACAGAGAATGAGCCCACCCAAAATGTCAATAGTGTCAAGGTAGAGAAAGGCCGCTGTAGGGTCAGTTAAATAAAGCATCCCTATAAACAAGGAGGGCTTAATAGAAGAGCAGCCATGAGATAGCAAATTCTCTCCTACCATCCACTGAGAAGGAATATTACAACCAGGAGAAGTAGAAGCCGTTATCATATGTTATCACCTTAGAGCAGCATAAAAATGTCCTTTCAACCAGTGTCAGGCCAGAATAATGGCCAGACACTGGGTAATCAGTGGTGAATTGGACCCAGAATTTTCTAGTGTGAGTTGGAAAACTACCGGGCTCCCTGAGGCTAGAACAAGGATAAAACTATCCTGCCTTGGGAAGCCGCCCCCAGTGCACTGCACACGGGGCCACCGCCCACCTCCTGTAAGGTCTGTTTATTTTGTAAGAGACAAGCAAGAGGACAGTCCAGGAGCAAAGCCGAGTGAGAGACGGAGCTCGAACGGACGAGGGCTGTGAGCTGCCCTTCGTCACTCGCCTCACTGTACCAGCGGAAACTGCACCCACAGTTCTGCTGTGTTCTCGGACGTTCAGCTTGTGCGGTTCTGGTCCCAGCAGCCAGGTGCAGTGAGCATGTGAACACAGCCTAAAGGCAACATAACTAAGTCCCTGTGGGGCCAGAAGCCAGTTCCCCCATAAACTATTTTGAGGCTTTTTCAGCAGAGTTCTGCTTTTTGGAGGGTAAGCGACGATCTCGTTAAGGCTGGGTAATTCCCCACCAGCCCTCCCAAAAGCGATAAAGAGTTGCACTTGAACATGGAGATTAGATTCCCATTTAATATCGCTCTTCTGAAAAAGAGGGAGGAGGGGGATCGTGTTCACTCCACTTCTGGTTATGCGATGCCGCGGAGACATCATCGTGACCAGTGAGAGCATGGAGGTCACCCAGCCACTCTCCGACTTTCTTCGTCCCCAGGGAGCACCCTGACCAGACCAGGACCGGCTTTGGCAGTGAGAGTCTTCTGCTTCGAGGCTGCACCATCAGAAACACCGAGGTGGCTGCTGGCATTGTCATCTATGCAGGTCATTGTCCCTGGACAGCTTCTTCTGCCCTTTATTCCCCTCCATCCCCTCCTCCAAATCCAGCTCCAGTCGGTAGGAACTCACATTAGTTCTGAGAGGAAGAGTTACGTGACTTCCCGCTTCTCAGCTAAGCAGGCTGAGGATGGGATCGCAGAGGCTCTGATCACTCGGTCCCCAGGAGATATAATTAGATTCCACATCACCATCACCCAACTGTATAAAAGACAAGAGGGCAACCCCCACACATGCACCTCTCATGGTTCTGCTGCACTAACAACATAGCCTCAGCGGACGTGACCACTCCAGCTTGGGTGCCTCAGTTTCCTCATCTCCCGAGGTTAATTCCATGTAAGCCACAGTCAGGTATCCGCAGTCCAGCTCCAACTCTAGAGCCCATGTTCTAACCAATACACCATACTGCCTCCACCTTAAGTCCAATTCTTGCCAAAAGAACAGAGGAATCTCAGAAGGTGAAGAGCAGGTGTGTGCAGAGGGGGATCCCAGGACCCCTTGTACGGGGCGAGCCTGAGGCGGGCAGGAAGCCGCAGTCGTCCTGCCCTCCCTGTGCTGTGGGAACCCCTCACCCCTGCAGCGGCTCGAGTCTCATTTAATAAGCCTAGAGTTTACTCGGTCCTACTGTTCTGTGGCCACTTTAAATCTACCGGGCAACCAGCTAACCAGCGCTAAACCCCATTCACTGCTGGAGCAGATATATTGGTTTCCTTTAATTTTGCACAGAAAAATGTGTGACTGGTGTTTTTTTAATTCAACTGCTAAGGAGTACAGCATGGTAGTTAAAGACTTTAGCAGCCTGGAAGGACAGGCTCTGTCTAAAGACAAAGTCTCAGGGGGCCTCCCAGCTCTTCCCCGTGCAGCTCGGGTACCACGGGCTGGTGGGAGGAGAAGGAGGCTGGGACCCAGAGTCCTGTGTTCCCAGTGCGGCTCTGGTGTTCGTTTATTCTTTCGCTTTGGGCAGGTTCCTTCTGCTTTTCTCTAGCTAGAAAAGAGAGTAACTGGATGAGATTGGTAGTTTTCAAATTTTGTTGTCCTTTCTTTGAACAAAATTTTATGCATAACTTCGAGACAAGAGTGGAGTTGCGTGGGTTTCACGTGGGTGGAGGCCGCTGGCCCCGAACGCTCTCGCACACGCAACACCAGCAGCTTAGGCAAAGAAACAAAGGGAAATCACTGGCCTTCCTGCCCTAGGGCCTTGGCACATACTGTTTCCCCAGCCTAAAACCCTTTTCTCTCAACTCTTCCTTTTCCCCGCAAGGCTCTCTTAAATGTCACCTCCTCTGAGAAGCCCTCCCTGACCATGATCTCTAATATCTCTTATTTATTAGCCCCTTGTTTGTTCTTTATTTCATGGGACTTATTAATAACCGCAGTTATCTAATTTGTTTCCTTGTGTGTTTTCACCAGAAGGTGAGTCATCTGTCTTAGCCACCATATTCCACCATTAGCCCATAACAGTGCTTTTGTGCAAATCAGAAAAAGATAGCCCTTCCTCAAGACAGCTTACTGTCATTTACCAGAAATGGGTCCTAATAAACTTACAAATCTATAACAGCTGTGAAGCGAGGACGACCTCCGGAGTTATGCAGAGCGCAATCTGTGCGTGGTAGCTCTGTCACTGCCCCTCAGTGTCTGGCACGTAGGGGATGCTCCATAGATACCTGTGGACAATCGTGCGAGGCTCCTCCGGCTGTTCCCAGCACCCTCCCTGAGGCAGCCAAGAGAAGGAAGCCTCTCTTTTACTGTAAGCTCCTGTGACAAGAGCTGAGGGGCCGCGAGGCAAACGGGCCAAGGCACTGATAGTCTCATTCTCTCTTCCAGGCCACGAGACGAAAGCCATGCTGAACAACAGCGGCCCCCGGTACAAACGCAGTAAGGTCGAGCGACGCATGAACACGGACATCTTCTTCTGCATCGGCCTCCTCTTCCTCATGTGCCTCATCGGAGCTGTAGGTATGGAATGTTCTGGAAAGAACAACACACAGTAATCTTTTTGGGGGGACCAGTTGCTTCAACTCTCTGAGCCTCAGTTTCCCCATCTATAAAATGCACTTCATAAAAAAATGAAGCCAACCCTGCCCTTTAACAGGGCGCTAGCGAACTCAGACAGGCTCGCGAAAACCTCCTGAAAGCATTATGTACTCGAAATAGTAGGACTGTCATCCACCATTTATTTGTCCGAGAAATACCTACCTACCCAGGCTCTCTATTCAGGTGAGAGGATAACAAGGCGGGCCGGGGGACCTCCTAGCTCAGCAGGTGGACAGGCTCAGTAACTCAATCCGCACCCCCAGCGAGGACCACACACAAGGGCTGTCTTTGTTTCCTGAAAAAAGTGAATACACACTTAGTGGTCTAAAACAACACAGATCTATTCCGTTAACTCGAGTTCAGAAGTCCAACGTCAGTGCTACGATAATAAGATCGAGGTGTCAACAGGGCTGGCTCCTTCCAGAGCCTCCGAGGGGAGAACCTCATCTTCGAAGAGTATTATTCAGACCTCTGCTCACATGGTTTTTCTCCTTTGCTGCGGTAGTATCTCCCTCTGCCTCCCTTTCATAAGGACACTTGTAATTACATCGTTGAGCCCACGATAGATAACCCAGGGTACCTTTCCTCATCTCAAGATCCTTAGCTGGTTCACGCCCACAGAGTTCCTTTTGCCATTTAAGATGGCATATTCACAGGGCCCAGGGATTCGGGGGTGGGCATCTTAAGGGGCCATTATTCACTCTCCTACAGGTATTATGGGAGCACGAAGGAAGGACGTCTTCCTTAAGGAGGCAGCTGCTAGAGCTGAATCCCATTCGCAGTAGGCATTTGCCAGAGGCGGTAGGTGGCAGGGGCAGACAATTGGTCAAAAGGAGAATCATCTGAGTCCCAGGTGCAAGACCAGGCTTGATTAGAACCAAGCTCCGCCCAAGCTCCACCACGGCTCTGTGGAGGGCGG